CCCCATCTGTGTCCCTCAACACTGCAACTTCCAGGAGTGATGACCAGTGGATCTAGTGATGCAGTCTGTGCCCACACCAACAGGTTGCCTATGCACAAGGTCACCAAACTGTACAGCCTTAGGGGACCCCTCCACTGGGCAGTCAAAAGAAGTATCCACACCACCCAGGAAGTGATATGGATGCCTGAAGAAGGACCATCCTTTCTGCAGGTAAGATGACTCAGGACCCAGTGTGTTACAGGACCATAGACTCAGGTGAACATTTTGGGCCTTAAGCTTAAACATTTTTGTTTTTACTAACCTACCAATTAGTTGGGTAAACAGAAAATCACCAACAATAACATAAATAGGACAGACACTAGGATAATGCCAAAAGGTAGACCTGTATCTATCATGTTATAATGGTACAGGATTGTACAAATCATATTTCCCTTTAAGGAGGATGAAAGTGTGTGTGTGTGTGTGTGTGTGTGTGTGTGTGTGTGTGTGTGTGTGTGTGTGTTCATCAGAAAGAAGCTGTTACATTATTTTCACACATTAGCCTTCCCACCCTTTCCTGCTTTGTTTACAGAGCTCAAAAACTCAAACTGAAAGTTATAAACAGAGATGAGTAAGTCAGAACAGTGATTCACCTCTCCCAACTTCCTCACTGTGGTGTTCAGGGAAGCTTGTATCATAGGTGTAGCCATGATGTTAATTTTCACTACAAAGAACTTACATTAAAAAAAAACATCTTGTAAACAATAATTAAATACTTGCAATTGTTTTTATTATTATTTATTTGAACCTAAAATCATAAAGAAAACGACAAATTAGGGAGATACCGATACAACCATCGGTATCGGCGGCGATACCTAGTATTTGCATGAGTACTCGTGCAAATACTCCGATACATAAAACGAGTACCTGTGCCGCGTCCGCCATCTTCAGGAACCCGAAACCGCCGCACACAGGATCTTCATCGCGTCTTCAATGAAGCAAGATGGCCGCAAACTCCTCCTCCAAGTCCTCAGTCATCTGCTCCATTCTGACCTCTTCTCCCGCTGATTGGCCGATTGGATGATTGACAGGCTTCCTCACCAGTCAGGAGTATCGGTATCGGTAATTGGTATCAGTGAGTACTTGAAAAAAAGTAGTCTTAAAAAAGTGGTATCGGCGCATCCCTACTAAAAATGAAAAAAACTATTCTAAATTGTCTGCCCTATACCATCCTTAGTGCTGCAATCATGTTTGCATCGTTTATATAAACAGTAATGCTTAAAGGATATAGACTCAAATTATATTTATGGACAACAATTCTAATTGTTTCTGAATTCTGAAGCATATGGGCAGAGAGAATCCAAGGAATAGAAGGGAAGAAGATTGGTGGGAGAAGATTTTGTTCATGTCCTTACCAAAACATAATAAAAAGAATAACTGTCTATAGGGCACGTATTAAAGTCTTACAATTCAAAAAGAAAGATGAATCATATTCGACTGGTGATATTTCAGTGCACTCATACAGAAGTACATGAAGAGCTAGCCTCCAGAAAACAGTCAGGGCAATAGGTCTTTGTTCCTTTCAGTTGTAATAGCTGGAGAACATGTGCTTGAGTTATAAGACTCAGATAATAAAAGTTTTCTTACAAAATGATTCATTGTAGTAACTGTAAAAACATATCTGAAACAATTAAACCTATACAACTGCTCAACCCTGACTGGTGTTATTATATAGCTGTGCACTGCACAGGGCTGTATTTAATATATTAATTGGGCCCTGGTCAAGATTCTGCTGATGGCCCCCCCAAACCCCTCCGCCTTGGTAACACAAATTGCTAATTAGCTAATCACATGGCATTGACTCAATGCATTTAGTCATCTAGACGTGGTGAAGATGACTTGCTGAAGTTCAAACAGGGCATCAGAATGGGGAAGAAAAGGGCATTTAAGTGACTTTGAACGTGGCATGGTTGTTGGTGCCAGATGGGCTGGTCTGAGTATTTTAAAAACTGTTGACCTACTGGGATCTTCACGCACAACCATCTCTAGGGTTTACAGAGAATGTCAGAAAAAGAGAAAATATCCAGTGAGGGGCAGTTGTGTGGATGAAAATGCCTTGTTGATGTCAGAGGAGAATGGGCAGACTGGTTTGAGATGATTGAAGGGCAACAGTAACACAAATAACCACTCGTTACAGCCAAGGTACGCAAAATACCATCTCTGAACGCACAACACATTGAACCTTGAAGCAGATGGGCTACAGCAGCAGAAGACCACACCGGGTGCCACTCCTGTCAGCTAAGGACAGGAAACGGAAGCTACAATTTTCACAGGCTCACAAAAATTGGACAATAGAAGATTGGAAAAACGTTGCCTGGTCTGACGAGTTCAGCTGTGTCATTCAGATGGTAGCGTCAGAATTTGGCGCAAACAACTGAAAAGCATGAATCAACCCTGCCTTGTATCAACGGTTCAGGCTGGTGGTGGTGTAATGGTGCGGGGGATATTTTCTTGGCACACTTTGGGCCCCTTAGTACCCATTGAGCAATGTTTAAGCGCCACAGCCTACCTGAGTATTGTTGCTGACCATGCCCATCCCTTTATGACTACAGTGTACCCATCTGCTGATGGATACTTCCAGCAGGATAATGCACCATGTCTCAAAGCTCACATCATCTCAAACTGATTTCTTGTACATGACAATGAGTTCACTGTACTTCAATAGCCTCTACAGTCACCAGATCTCAATCCAATAGAGCACCTTTGGGATGTGGTGGAACAGGAGATGCACATCAGCGATGTGCAGCCGACAAATCTGCAGCAACTGCGTGATGCTATCATGTCGATATGGACCAAAATCTCTAAAGAATGTTTCCAACACCTTGTTGAATCTATGCCATAAAGAATTAAGGCAGTTCTGAAGGCAAAAGGGGTGAAACCCGGTACTAGCAAGGTGTACCTAATAAAGTTGCCAGTGAGTGTATATTTCAATGCAATAACCCATTGGACTCAGCACCGCAATAAACTAGGCACTCTCATTATCGATTAGTTGAATCCTCCCCGATGCCACTCTGCTCTTCCGTTCTCTTACCTGCTAGTGCTGGCTGCAGAGGTCTGTGTCCCTTTCAACTCTCCCTGCCTGTATCGGCAGAGGCAGCGGAGACACAGACCACTGGAGACGGCACCAGCGGGAAGGAGAGACTGCATTGACTGCATCCCCCCGCTGTACCCCCTAGTACCCCTGCTGCTGCCACATTCCTCCTCTGCCCGCCCTGTTCCTCTCCTGTTCCCCCGTACCTCCTCTGCCCACCCCGTTCCTCCGCTGCCTGCCCAGTTTCCTTCTCAGTCTCTGACCCCGTCTGATTTGCTCCTGGAAACAATAGCAAGCCTGCTATTGGATATTTTAAATTGCACTAGCCAATAGCAGGCTGGCTATTGCACCCTCCCACTGCCTGCTGTCAATCAGCAGAGGAGGACCTGAAGAAGAACTGTCTCTTTCAATTCCCTCCTCTGCTGTTTTGACAGCAGGCAGTGTCGGGTGCAATAGCCAGCCTGCTATTGCAATGTTAAATATCCAATAGCAGTCTAGCTATTGCTCCCAGCCACTGTATGCTGTGAAAGGTGTCCGTGCATACAGTTTTTATTTTGAAGTAAACTTTATTTTGAAGTAACCAACGCTGCATTTGTGTATTTTATTTTAAATACATGATGGTATTATTATTTTATTTTTTTTATTTGATTAATTGAAAAGATTTAAATCGGCCAACTAATCTATTATGAAAATAATAGTTAGTTGCAGCCTTATTTATAAGAGATCATTGACAGCAGTATCTGTATTTCTCTTAATATGGGTTGGCCTTTGCATATGACAGAAATCAGGAATCTAACATTTGTGATGGTGCAGCTCATCAATGCAGGTGGTATAAGACAAGGGCTCAGAGTCTGTTTCCATAAATCTGTAGCCACTTTAGAGAGCGCATCTACTTTATTAGGAGGACATTAATAGGGCATTTTTTTGATAAGAATGAAGGGGATGCATTTCAGGAACTGGCAGAAAGACACATAAATATTAGAGGTGCCCGAAATAGAAATTTAAAAACCGAAACAAAACCGAAATAATTGTCAGGCCGAAACCGATACTGAAAATGTTTTATTTTAATTTATTTAATATTTTAATTTTTATTTATTTATTTTTATAAACTTTAAAATATATATATATATTTTAAATGTATTAAAAAATATTTTAAATGTATTAATTTTTTATTAAATTTTTTAAATTTTTACTTTACTTTTAGGGGCTTTGGGGAAATATTAGGGGTCTAAACAGACCCCTGATATTTCCCTTTTAAAATAGAAAAAGAGATTGAGAACACAGAGTCATCAATCTCTCTTTCTGTATTCCCTGTTATCAATGAACAGGAATCCTCTATGAGTGTTCCTGTTCATTGATAACTTGAGAATATAGTATGTTTACTATAACTACAATTGTGAATAAACAGGAATGGATATAGATCACTCCCATTCATTCATAATGGAGGATATAGTAACCATACCATATCCTCAATTATGTACAATATACTCAGCGATCATTGATTGCCGAGTGTGCCGAGTGTATGTAGCCTGCTCTCCTCTGACACACACCGTCACAGGAGGCTAAGCGAGCGGTGCAAGAGGAGAGCCCAGCCTCCTGTGACAGCGCTGTCTCCGCCCCCACACCGATCTGCCGCACTGTGATAGGCTGTCGAGCGGTGTGGGAGGAGAGACAGCGGCCGCTCACAGCGCTCTCCTCACGCAGCGCTTGGCCGGCTGTTACGTTCTCTCCTTCCTGCTGGGACACAGAGCAGCGCCCAGCGGGGAGGAAAGAAATCACGGATGCGCCGATGTATCGGTAGGAAAGTGCCATTTTCGGCCAATATGTTTCGGCGGACGATATATCGGTGCATCCCTGATAAATATAATACAGAGGAGAAAAGTATAACTTGCAGCAATTGAAAATTTAATAGACAGCAACAAATACTTGCCTCTCCTAGAGCTTCATATCGCTTTTGATTCCACCTATGCAAATCTTCCCGATAGTTGAAGACAAATGGTTCTCCAGTTTTTATATGTCTAAGCTGTCCATCTATAAGAAAACATAAGGAATGCTTCATTTAGAAAAAATCCATATGACAACATAAACATAGTTCAGTGCATACTTCAGTCAAAAGTGTTCTACACTTCTATATATTCTATAGTTGAGAAAACTATAGAGAATAAACAAAGTATTAAATCAATTTTACGGGTTACAGTTTGTGAACATATATTTCAAGTGACTTTAAGAGGGTTATTCACAAAGAAGCCTAAGGATCCAGCCGTAGCTTCTCTGTCAAACCGAAGGGCTGCTGTATGGGCTATTCACTATAGTCCGTACATCAGCCAAAGGCGGTCGAACGGCTCGGCCATGCAGCCCAGTCGAGCCAAAGGCACATGCTTTGGCTCTACTGAGCTGAAGTGACAGCCGAAGCGGGGCAAATGGCCTGCCGAAAGAGTTGGCCGTAAGCCCCGCAAATAAAAGCTGGGCGGAGCCAGCTGTGCTCTCACAGTGGGCTTCGCCCAGTTGTATTGACAGATCAGCGTCCCCAAATAACCTGGGGATGCGGATCGGTCATTAAACAACTGGGCGGAGCCAGCCGTGACGCCACGGCTGGCTCCCCCCAGGTATTCATTGGCCGAGACCTGCTAGAAGACTCCAGCAGGTGCCGGCCAATAGGAAACAGTTGGGTGGAGCTAGCTGTCACTGCTAGCTCCGCCCAATTGTTTTTTTGTGTTGAGATTGTAATCCATCACGGGAGCAAGATTGGAGTGGTGGCTACTTTACAACACACACAGGGACCATGTGGAACAAAAGTAGCCACCCTCCAGAAGGAAGGACAGTGTCAGCATGAATTCTGAGAGGATTTAAGGATCTACAGCTGAGTGATGCACAAGTAAGATACATTTTTGTTAATAGTTAAAGGTATTTGAATGCATTTTTTAGATTCAAAAGAGAACAAGTGTTTTCATAGTTCTCTTTAGGGTCACGGGAGGACATATACTAACCTCCTCCCGTGACCCAAAGCTCAGTATATAGCGGGCTATTGCCCGCTATATACTGAGAGTGCTGCAGCCTGACAATCCTGTTGAGATCCACCCAGCTCTGTCAGTGACAGCTGGCACTGCCTATCTAGAGGCAGAGCCAGCTGTGCCCGCCCCCTTCCCCATTCATTCCTCCACTCAGCGCTGGACGATCGGAGAGCGGAGGGGGGAATCACCCGACAGTCACCGCTCACTGCAGAGAGACGATCGGGAAGTGAGCGGATCGGCAGGATGTTTCTGCTCACTCGTTGTCACAAGTCGGCTTTAGCTATGAGGATGAGTGGAAATCACTCACCTCATAGTTCTCCTTTACCTCCTGAGTTTAGCGTCAGTTTAATTTGTCCTGTTTTATGGAACAATTATCAGCATTGGTCAGCCCATGTATACCCACTGGCTAGCTGGACACAATACACCCATGACAGCTCTAGAGCTGTGGAAAACTTGCTCATACAGTAATGGTCAGAATTCTTTTCACATGTCCTCCTTATACAGATTAGTAGTTTTCTGTTAAAACACTGAGGGAGTTCCATACAAATAAAGCTTACTTTCATTGAAAGCATATTCAAAGCCTTCCAGCGTGTCTGGAAATTCAAGAGGTGGCTCGTCTTTTTTCATCAGTTCATCCAAATCTATTCTGGAGAGAAGATCTAAATGGAAATGCACATTATACATTAGTTACAACTGAATGTTTTCCTTCAAATTGACAGCTTAACAAAAAAAAACTTAATCCAATGAAAAGAAAAAAAAACAGAACAGAACAGCATTGCTAGAGAGAACCTAAGCTCCATTTCTGGCTGCCTCAACATTATTTACATAGTATACATTCTTCTATTTCCTTAAAACCTTGTAGGAAAGATATCACCACAACAGTTTCATGTTCTGCTCATGCCCAAGGGTAATCACACATTTCTTTTTCCATTTGCCATCATGTAAAAGTAACTTATAGAAACAAATATGCTGGGAAGAATAAAGATTGTGCCATCATTAGCCTGTTGTAAAAATGCTGGTTGCCAGGCTGTCTCATGCTTCAGTACTTTGAAGCATTATTTTGTATCTAAAAATAAATCTATTCAGACATACACCCTTAAGCTGACTCTTCCTTCTGTGATGGTCATGCAATGGCAACAAAACTTCCCCTTTACTTGGAAGCAGGCATCCCTTACATGTTTAGCAATACAACTGCCAGTTAACTTGACTGACCTGTACTGTCTTAAGTTCCTATTCCTGCTTCAAAAACTCAAGGCAGATCTTCAACACTGTAATAAACTTCAACACACACACACACACACACACACTTCGGAGGAGCAGTCGTCCGGAAAATGAATATCCTCCCAAGAATGCTCTACTTAGATAGGTTCTTCATCACACTCCACAAAGTCTGGCATGACAAAACCCCTCAAATTAGTCTTAACCAAGTTATGACCCCAAAATATGGCCCCCCAGAAGGTCAGGATAGGCCTTAAACAACTGCTTACTCCAGGACTCTACTACACTTACAAGACCACCACCCTATGATTGGCTCTGAAGACTTTTGCATTAATTTGCAGGAAAAATGTACCTTGTCCATACAATCCTGTCCAGGGACTCCAATTTGGGACAATTCAGCATTCCCTCCATATCGCTCACATCAGTTACCTCAGTCCCGGCCTATCCATCACAGGACTAATAGCACAGACTTTCTTTCTACCAGGCAAATTCCACGATAGAACTGTGCTAAGTGAACATACTGCAGAAACCCTGGAGTTCTTATTTTCAATTCTGCCACTTCCTTACTAAACCCACATTCCAGGATTAACCCCTTCATGACTGAGGCCCTTTTTTCAATTTTTGCACCCATGTTATAACCGGATCCCACACATCACTCAAATATCTCTGTTCTAGCAATGTAACGCAAAGACAACTCATATCCATACCAAGGACCAGGTTGCAGCCATACAGACAAAACATAGAGACCTGATCCCGAAAAAATAAAAAACTAGGAGGTGCTCAACGCTCTAGTGGAGTGAGCTAAAATGCCTTACCCTTCAAGGCATATGCCTGGACAATTGTTTGACAGGTCTCCCTTGAAGGGCAGAAGTGGAAACCAAAGATTCCTGTCAGAAACCCTCTGGAAACACGATACCTTAAAAAAACGCCAGTCTAAACTGGAGAGTAGCAGCTGTGGGAGGGGTTATATACCCTAAGACAGTCCTATAGTCTAAAGGTGCTCATACACTGGGTGAATTTCGGTCATTTTTTCATGTACCGGACGAAATTCGCACCTTGTGTGGGGCTGTCGGCTCCCTTTGAGCCAGCAATTCTTGATCAGCTGATCACAGTGTGGAAAATTTTCGGACGACCAGAGCCGGCAGCCAATGAGCTGCCCGCTCTGATCGGGTATTCTGAGAAGTGGCGGCGGCACATGTCAGAATACAATGCAAACAGTGGCGATTCTTTGATTGACACGCTGTTTGTGTTGGAGGAATCACATCAATTTTTGTCGTTCAGTCTGCGGGTTAATTGCACTAGTGTCTATTATAAGAGTGTCCCTATGTAACTCATGGTAATATAATGTTTTTGTGTCCCTCAATGGACTAACTTTATTTGCTTGGATAGAGTAGGTATTGGCCAAGAACCCTTTTTTTACAATCTTTGTCCCACTGGGGAAATTGCCCTTTACTTCCTGTCCCAGAGACACAACAAAAAAAAAGAGAAAGAAAGTGATTGTCATCTGTCACCAGAACAGGTGTCCGCACGGAAGATTTTCGCTTCACCTTGACCATAAATGCCAGGACAAATAGAAAAGCTAAACCTTCCTATCTTGAACACAAACAAAAACCTGCCAGGAGTTTTAATCCAGGGGTGTGGAATTCCCATCACCTGATGCTCGGGAGATGCAGTTCTGGACACCAGGCAGGTGTTTTGTTTGGTTTTTTTCCTACATTAAGCCCCGCTTCCAGCAAGCAGTGCTAAATGTAGAGTGGAGAAGCAACCGTTACTTTGGCTGTATAGCTGCACCAGATTGTATAGCAGCCTGCTCGTCACTACCCTGCCAACACCCACCCCCAAGGTCCACCTCACGCACCAACCCTAACTCCCATGGTTTTCGGGGCCCCCGGAAAATGGCTTCAGGATGGAGAGTGGGGGCAGTGAGAAAAGAGCGCTGTACTCACAGTGCCTCTGGTCTTAGCTGTCCCATGTGGGGCAGTACTGAAGATTTAGCACCATGTTGTGATCGATCTTTTGTATTGGCGGGCAGGCACCATAAATGAGAACCTGTCAGCGCCAAACATGATCACAAAAGTTGCTCGTTAGCCCCTTTGTGATAGCGATAAAGTTAAGTGGAAAAAAAAAGAAAAAAGTGATAAAAAAAATAACAAAATAAAAAAAGTTAAAAATTATAAAATAAAAGTGATAAAAAAAGTTAAAAAAATAAAACCAACCCGCTCCTCACCTGCCATCTGCATGTAAATGGGCATTGTGCGTGTGATGCCCCCATTCCACTGTGTACCATATTGTGGTAACCGGGCAACAGCGCTCTCACACGTATTAAAAGGGTAAGTTCGCTTTATCAAGCAATTTGGGAAAATGTAATTACCCGCTCAAGTCTCCAGTACACCTCCAGTACAGGTGTCCTATTCATACCCAGTACTGCTTGCGCTATGGATTTTGACTTTTTCTCACAAGTTGCAAACAATAAAGAAGCACTTCTTTGGAAAACTATTTTTTTGCATTGGGACAAATAGATTGTCATGAGGGACAAGTCATTTTGCCTGTGCAAAAAAAAAAAAAACACTGGCTGTGCATTTTAAACTTTGCAGTATTGATTCATTACTAACATGCTAAACAAATGGGAATCAATCTGTCACTTAAAAGTGATATGAAAGTCAAAAGTCTTTTATGCTATTTGAAATGTTGATCATGTTACTTACGATGTATGTTGCTCGTTGATGTTTAAATGTTTCAGTTTCCTGTAGAATCAGCTGGTTTCCTGAGCACTGGCCCCGATATCCTGTTTTAGTATGGCTCCTTTCCCTTGCAGGGTCCTATAGAGCCACTCTTGTGTGTGCTAGTAAACTGTGTGTGTCTTCACAAAGACACCGGCACAGCAGAGCCAGGCACTCCCCTACTTTTTGCTCCCCCCCTCCACCTTTTTCTATGCTAGTAGATAGGCAGCTGCTGGAGACTGAGGTGTCTGTTATGATTTTGTAGTCAAGAGGAAGTTCAGGGAAGTGGAGCTGAGAGAGTCGTTGCCAACTGTTCGGAAACATGTAAATTGTAAGTGCTTGGACATACATTTAAAGAAATACTTTGCTGGGTAATGTACCGTATAGTTGTTTGCTATGGATTCAGTATTGGAAAAAAAAAAGTTTTAAAGTGTAATACTACTTTAAAGTATAGACGTCCAGTACAGGGCAGGGGTCTCATTAGCACTTTAAGTTTGAAATTAAGAAAGGCTGCATAACACTGAATATGTTCAGAAACATCTGCTTTAAAATGCACAAAGTATGTTATTTGTTCAACAGCGGTAACACACTTCGAGGTGAAGATAAAGCTCTCGAGTCCTTTCCAATGGTTTCGGTTCAGAAAAGGCCAATGACTCATTAAAAGAGAAACAAGATTACACCATATTTGTACTGATTAGGATGAGAAAACTACATCAGAACACGGTACAGAAATCTGCACTTGACCCAGTGAACTGACTAAATCCTACTTATACTTAACAATGGCTGCAATAATAAGTATACCATGAGCAGATTAGTTCCCCCAGGTTCATCTGATTGACTTCTATCACAGCACTGCACATTTTCTCAGTCTTCTGTAATTAAATGCATAGCAGAAGCTAAATGAGAAATCATTTCCATAGAATATTTGTGTGGAGATTTCCCATGTCTCGTCAAAGCAGGCATTACCTTGTATTATGGAGCTATGTATGTTCCTGAAATGAGGGTGGTTATGGGGGAGTTATACAGCACCGAAGATTAAGGGGCATAATGGAAAATATTTTGTAAGCCACGGGCAGTTTAAATACGTTACAAAACTATACGGACACATTCTCTTTCAAATGTAGTCCAGTAATTAACCTGCAGTCATTCCAACAGGTGGTTGTGCCCTCTTCCTCACCTATTCTATAGATTAACACAAGCTAAAATGAGACACTGCCGTATCCCCTCTCTGTTCATAGGGCACAGCAACCAAAAGGTCATACTCAGGGCATAACTACGGTATAACCGATTGGGCCTATTATCAACATTACCATAGTGCCCTTTGGGTGTCCAAGCTCCATCTTATGAAAAGGTGGCACCTAGGCTGCTTTTCAGCCACCAGCACAATAACTGCTGATTATCTGCTGGTTTTAATTTGCTTGTCAATTTTGTTTTGTGCGTTTCAGTTCTTTATAAACAAAAATAAATACAATCTGGGGTTGTGTATGAACAGTCGATCTTCCAGGAACAGCAGTACAGGTACTCCTGAATTTTCAAAGCACCCTGCACTAGCAACAAAGGGAGAGGCTTAATGGGAGTAGGCAGGGCAATCAGGACTGTAAGACATGAAAAAGTCAGGTGACATTTCATTTGCCAGTTTTAGAGCCCATTCACACCAGGGCAGTTGCGGATCAGAGCGTTTACCACCCTGATTTAAAAAGGGAGATATTGGGAGTTTTTAACTGCATTTCAGCTCTGAAACACAATTAAAAAGGCCCAAAAGCACAGTTCCAATGAAAGCTGTATGGAAACCGTACTGATCAGCACGACAAAAATAGTGCAGGAAGCAGTTCAGGCGGGGGGCGGTTCGGATCCCTCTGAGCCGCGGGGTCACATGTGGACCACCCCGGTGTGAACGGGGCCTTAGGAGTCAGTTATCACTATTGTTCAAAAGACTCCTGTCATAAGACACAATTCATAGATTTCCGTGTACAGCTGCCCGGATGTTAAGACCAATTTGAATGACCCAGTACTTAAATGCATTAGACTGATGATTTTATTGTGCCCAGATCATGCATGTTAAATTATCATATTCTGAACAGGCAGTAAAAGCACATAAAAACCCTCATTTAGCTCTCTATCTATATTTACTTGTGGAGGAATTAACTTTTTCAAAGTTTCCCACTTAGAGTGTTCGCTGCAATCTTTGAGAATGAACAATTTAGGACTTGTTTGCGCTACCTACAGCTAGTGTCTACTGGGTGTCAGCGGTGAGCAATGGTGCCTTACATTATGACAACGCAAGGCACAGTTTCCTTTTTTCTTAAAAGGAGAACTATGGGGTTAAGGCTTTTCCCCATAGTTCTCCTTAGGGTCACGGGAGGACACAAACTAGCGTCCTCCCGTCACCCTAAGCTCAGTATACCGCAAGCTATAGCTCGTGGTATACTGAGGCGCCACAGCTAAAGTGGATCCCGACAATTATGTCTGGATCCTCACAGCTGCGTGAGTGACAGCTGGCTCTGCCTACCTAGAGGCACAGCTATATCCAATTCTGCATACCTGGCTTTATATTATAAGAACTGTATAATATAAAGCCAGGTATGCAGAATTGGATACAGCTGTTCCACACTATACAATACACTGTTCTGGAGTCTGGACATGTGATAATCTATTTTCCCCACTAGGGGGATACATGCCTTAGTTAGCAATGGCATGATAAATATTAATTTCATTATTCAATGTCTTTTTTTAAATATTATAACATTTATAATATTTTAAAAAAGACATTGAATAATGAAATTAATATTTATCATGCCATTGCTAACTAAGGCTTGTATCCCCCTAGTGGTCAAAATAGATGAGCACATGTCCAGACTGCAGACCAGAACACAGTGTGGCACAGCTACAGCCAATTCTGTATAACTGGCTTTATATTATTATTACATTTTCTTATAATATAAAGCCAGGTATGCAGAATTGGATATAGCTGTGACACACTGTGTTCTGGTCTGCAGTCTGGACATGTGCTCATCTATTTTGACCACTAGGGGGATACAAGCCTTAGTTAGCAATAACTACATAGTTATTTTCTTTTTTTTAAATAATATATGCCGGTAAACAGCATTTTTGTGCCCAGCCTATTAGGGGTGTCAGTACTAACCTGCTGTGTCGTCTTCTCCGTCTCCGTCTGCTTCAGCCACTCCGTGTCACAGCCTAGTCATCAATGGAGCAGATGACTAGGCTGTGACATCTGCTCTATTCTGACCTCTTCTCCCGCTGATTGGCCGATTGGATGATTGACAGGCTTCCTCACCAGTCAGCAGAAGAGGTCAGAATGGAGCAGATGACAGAGGAGGTCGCGGCCATCTTGCTTCATTGAAGACGCGATGGAGGTCCTGTGTGCCGCGGATTCGGGTCCCTGAAGATGGCGGACGCGGCACAGGTACTGTATTGGAGTATTTGCACGAGTACGAGTACTCATGCAAATACTCGGTATCGCCGCCGATACCGATGCTTGTATCGGTATCGGTGCATCCCTAGTAGTTATACACATTTCCAGGCCACAGAACAACTGACATTGCAATAAGACTGTGGGTTACAGCATCTATTATCAAAACTGCAAAACAAACTCATGGCTGTGTGTTACAGACAAGCTGTCAATCATAGGTTAGGGTGCATCTCTGGTCCATATTAAACTGCATTTTGGAGTTTGTAGTTGGCCAAAGATCAGTACTAGACTATCACTAAACTGATAACGAGGAAAACACATTCTCAGGTTAAATTAATTCTAATCCCACCACAATGGAAGACTTTCCTCTGAATGAATACAAATACAGCATCCATAATAAGATGCAATTGTTGCCTTTCATACCTGGAATCTATAAGACATATTCAGTAATTTCCATAACATTTCAACATCTCGGTGCACTTAACTAAAGATGGTAATGATTAGGAATAAGGAGAGGTGATCTTTGTCAACTAGCTGGGGCCCTGCTGTCTTCATGCATTGCATAAAGTTCATGTAAAGCAGAACTCCAGGCAAAAGTGTTCAGGAGGTATATCCCTTGGCACCCTCACGTCCGTTAGACTGTGTATAGTACATGATGACTCAATGATCCTTAAACCGCTGTAGTGGAGGGGGGAAAAGAGGCTCCAGGGACCAGTCTAATAAGCCATCTCCGAGGATCGGGGGGAGTATAACTTTTTTTGTTTTTTAGCACCTAGACAAAAGTGAACACTTAACCCTTGCAGTATGGGGGTAGCCCCACAGCAGGGGTAAAGAACACTTTTGCGAGGAGTGCTCTACACTACAGGCAGCAAAACAGAGGTGGGGGAGCAAAGGGTGGGCTAAAATTGATGCGATTCTGTTACTTTGGTTTTCATGGTTAGGTTTCCAGACCAACCATGGCAATATCACCCTGCTCCTTGCCCAATCTACCTTTTAAGGCTGTTGTCTTTTCTTTTTCATCCGGAACTCCTACGTGTAGCTGTGCCATACTGAATCCAAACAAGACAACCAGTAGAAAGGGAAAAATGGACATCAATCTTCTTCTAGACACCTACAAATTTAAACAAAAACAGGAAGAAAAAAAAATAAACAGACTGTTTCCATTGTTCTATAACATGTTATTGTACATAAAGTAAACTGTACACACCAAGAGTGGCAAAAAAAGAAACATGAAATTCTATCATTTAAAATTAAGTACTGAAGGAGTAAAAGCCTCTCACTGCGTTAAAGACCAAACATATTGGGGAGTATTTATCAAAACTGGAGCAGTTGCCCATGGCAACCAAACAGCTTCTCTCTTCAGTTTGCTCAGGTACAATTTGAAAATGAGACAGAATCTGATTGGTTGCACTGCACAGCTGCTTAAGATGGTTTGCTCCAGAATAACTTAAAAAATTTAAAAACTCCTGCTTACACTTATAAGTGTTTTATACTTGCCTAGTATTCTTACCGATCTTCCCTGTATGAAATGCTGTGGGATGTTATATTTACTCTAAATAACTCAGTCTGTATTGTGCTGGCAGATTTCATTATCAGTTGTAAACTAGATTTGAACACGGTTTGTTCTAACAAAGGGATAAAGAGCAATGCATGTTAAAACTGAACTCCAGGAATGTTAAAGGAGAACTATGAGGTGAGTACTTTTCATTCACCTCATAGTTCTAGCCGACCTGTGACAATGAGACTGTCACAGGTCGGCTCAGTAGATCGGGAGGTGAGCGAACACATACCGGGTTCGCTCACCTCTCGATCCTGTCACGGCTCTCTGCCGTGACAGGGGGAGGGGCTGGATTCCCCTCTCCCCGCTCTGATCTGCCAGCGCTGACTGGCGGAACGGACAGGGGAGGGGGCGGGTACAGCTGGCTCTGCCTCTAGATAGGCAGGGCCAGCTGTCACTCACGCAGCTGGGCGGATCCCGTTGTCTTGCAGTAAGTCGGGATCCGCTCTGGCTGCGGCATCTCAGTATACCGCGAGCTCTAGCTCGCGGTATACTGAGCTTAGGGTAACGGGAGGACGCTAGTTTGTGTCCTCCCGTTACCCTAAGGAGAACTATGGGGAAAAACACTGACCCCATTGTTCTCCTTTAAAACATTAACCCTTATAGTAGGGCTACCCCCGGACTGCAAGGGTTAACTGCTCGTTTTGTCTTTGGAGCGGAAAAAAATAAGATATACTCACCCGATCCCGCCTGGCTGATAGACCAGTCCCTGCAGCCTTTTCTCCGGGCAAAGAGATGTGAAGTCATCAAATCTTATACAGTGTATTAGACGTGAACATGCCAAGGGACATACCACAGCCGGAGCATTAATACACTGCGATAGTGTGTGATCAAGATTAAAAGAACAATATACTACATGTATCCTTGTTCGTTATATTACTATAATGTATTTTAGTGGCTTTTAAATGTTTTAAGGCCGGCTTCAAAACTATGAATGACCGCAACGTACCATGCACATAATAGTGCGTTACAGTGCTAGTGATTTTGAATGGCACCCCCATGGCACTAAAGGACGTACATCTGAGGCACCTGGGTCGCAGCACACCATAATAATCCCAAAAGATGTCACCAGCACTCCAAAAGTAGAATCAAAAACTTTAATTGACAACAGTCATTCAAAATGCAAGTACTTCCGGGGCCCTGTAGGGTCCCCGTCATCAGGCTCAGAATGGAGATCCGGTAAGGAGTGCAGTAAGACACACTTTTTTTGCAGCACACCATAACACACAATAATGCACTGCTGTGTGTTATGGTGCACAGTGTCAGAAACAAATGTGCTACCTGAATGTAAAACACATAAAAACATATTAATACATGTGAGTTAATGCCCTTGGAAGGTCTGGATGAGCAAAATGAATGCTTGTTTTGCCATATTCTGTATTCTTAATGCTGCCGAGATAAAATATAGGTGGTCTACTGTTTTCAATCAGCCCAGGCCGATTAACACAATCTTCCACTGACAGAGGAACAGTAAAGCAGCCCTACTAAGCAGACAGAATGGGCTATAGTTGTAGTCCGTAAATATTGCTGCCCTCATGCAGGTTTCATTACAAAACATGCAAAGAAACAAGGAATAATAATAATAATAATTCACATCACCACAATAACATATGTACTCCTAAAGTAAATAAATACATAAATAAAAGTCTACTAGATGTATTTGTGAGCAGTATGGTGTCCAAGTGAATGAGAAGAAGAAACATTATGCAATTAGGATTCTTTTTTTTAAAGCAATTGTATGCAATTTTTATATATCTTTGTTAATAGTTTTCCCCCTCCCTTTTCATATATTTGCAAACATACAATTAATCCAACCTTTCAATTTCTTTGAATTCTGCATAAATATAGACATTTATATTTGCATAGAAAATCAGAACAAACAGCTGATCAAGAACTAGATTTCAGTGCCAAGTATCCCTAAGGGAGAAAATATTAAAATATATGGTTTACAGATGGGACATCAATTCCAAATTATAGAGGCTAAATGGACAAGACTTCTATCAAATCAGAAGGATTTGTGCGGTTAACTTTCAAGCACCATTTGTGGGATATATTATCACTGAAGTGTTCAGCTGCAATCATCAGAAATTTCACATTTCATGCTTGAAAAGGAGCATATGTCAACTGAATAATCCTCAAATCAGCCAAAAGAAGGTGTGCACATATTAAGAAACATATATAAACTTTTGTCCTTCATAAGCACGTGGGACATTATGGAAAGAAGGAACCTGATTTATGAAAATAATAATAGTGATGTTTACAATTCTTTATCACTTTTTAAAAAGGGGCTTGGTATAGTGAATTTACCACTGAATCGCTCACTCTCTCTCTCTCGCTCTCGCTGATTGCCAAAAAAATGCCTCTTATTGGTTTTGACTTTCGTAGCTTGAAGCACATGGAATCTCAATGTTGCTGGTGCATTCAAAGTAATGCAAATTAATTGAATATTAAAGTGCACCCCTAGCTACGGTCATGGCAGATAGGCAGACATGAGATCCTTATACTGGTACCAATTCTGAGCATTTGGGCCAGTACTCTTACTGGCCCAAATGCTCAGATACTTACCCCTATACCGGAACTTTTGGTCATGACATGCCGCCCGGCTTCCTGAGGTCAGGAAGCCAGGCTGCCTTACAGTCTCGACAGGGACCATGAAGCCGGCTTCCCAGGTAATCAGGAAGCCGAGCGGCGGCTCATGACTTCCTGATTGGCCAGGAAGCCAGGCCACCGCTACCGGGATGCCGATATTGGTACTCAATATCGGCGAGTACTGATAAAGTAGATATCGGTACTCGATACCGAAAAACATCGGTGTATCCCTAGTATATATTGATTGATATTGATATTGATTTAGTGTAGAGTGACTCTTTAAATGCACACTTTAATTTTGAAGCTTATAGGACAGATAGTGATGCAGCACACATGAAATCACAAAGATGAGAACGAGAGTTAGATAAAATAAAAAAATACCTAGTGATATAATTATTACACCTACAAGTCTAAAAAACCTTAGCAAGTTACAAAACATTTTCCCCAAAGCACAAAGGCATACCCATTACGTAGGAACACTTCAGCCTCCACCAGGGGTAGTGAATTAAAATTCAAGGTCTGGTGAGCAAAATTTTAATTGAACCCAAGTCCGTATGGTAGTCTGGACAGACCAGTCCTTCAGTCCGTGTCTGGATCACGGTCCGCCATTTAGGCTGCATTTACACAAGCAGCAGCACTGCAATGCACAGCTGCTGGTATGTGTTCCCAGACATAGTGCATCAGAGTGCCCCCTCACATTAAGTGTCCCCATCAGAGTGCCCCCTCACATTAGGTGTCCCCATCAGAGTACCCACTCACATTATGTGTCCCCATCAGAGTACCCACTCACATTAAGTGTCCCCATCAGAGCACCCATTCACATTAGGTGTCCCCAATCAGAGTGCCCCCTCACATTAGGTGTCCCCATCAGGTGTAAGCGGGCAGCAACCAGGTGGCATTGTAGCATTTGGGCCACCAGAAAGTTAGGTATAGTGACTCTACTTTTAGTAGGTATATACAATTCTGTACAAGTGACCCTCTCCTGAAAAGGATGCCATTTACTTCTGAAAGATGTAAAGACTTCATTTCTGTTACGCTATCTTACAAATAAATAGATAACATATTTGGAAATCTAAAATGCTGTTGAGTGGTATACTAGCATTGTTTTCTTGCAGGAATTCAGAGTTGGATCCGGTTTCACTCAGCACAATACTGAAGTGGATTGTAAGGTTCAGTTGTGCGCAGAGGCAAGCAGCTTTCAAATGAAACAGGCCATGCATATATTTATGTTCATATAGTAGAGAAGCAACAGCGATACAGGAGGAGCCGTGAGGCGGGGCAGGCTGCAGACTGCAGGAAAGGACGGAAGACGATGCTCTTCCATCCTCCCTTAAATGTTGGGCAGGGAACACAGCTGATGTCAGTGGTTGTTAGGAATGCCATGGTCCTAACAACCAATGACTGAGGAGGAGTGAGACTTGCGCCGAGTTATGGCTGGCTACTAGCCAGCTATAACCCTGCACAGGTCTGCAATTGCGGTCCAGATAGAACGGCTACTCAGTCCGTGTTTGGACCGCTGTCCGCCATTGCCTAAGCAATGCTGAATAATGACTTAAGCTTGACAACATGCTTGCAAATTAAGTATCAAATCTTAACTTTGTAAACCAAATTCTGATAAAGGTAGACCTTTTTATGAATATACTGCTCGTTATTAAAGTATATTATCTCTGTAATTCTATAATACCAGGCATTTCCATCTTCATGGAAATCATTTCCAAACATCTGACATATTTACAATAAATGTAGCACTAAGGGTAGCCTATGCACATTCAAATATTTACATATTCTTAAGCTGTAAATAAACTTTAAAACACGCCCTCACTGACCTCTGTAGCTGAAGACACTATTGAGTGATTCATCCTCAAAAGTTCACAATTTAAGCAGTGAGGTTATTTAGGATGAGTGTCTGCACTCTGCTCTCCAGCTCTTCCTGTACACCTGCTTTGTGCTTATAATAGAGAAAA